CGATGTCTGAAGTCCGGTGGCCGAGTGGTCTGCATGCCTGGCTTGCAATAATAAGATCTCCGGTTGGAATCCGCGTAGGGGTGGATGTCCCGACGGTATACTCAGCACACGTGCGAATGGTGGTGGTCACGCGGCAGCGAAGCGCCGTTGCGGCGTACAGCTGACGACCTGCCATTTTTTCATTTAACTGAAGTCACTGCATCCAGAACTCAGCAATTCCGAGAGGCATGTATGTGCTCTAAAAGCGGAGGCCATCAGTCGACTGAACAACCATACATGTGGTCTTACGGAGACTCCTAGAAACACTGTTTGACTTTCTTGAATCTCCAATCCATTTGTGATATGGAGGCGGTGAAGCATTAGCCCAAGAATAGAAGACCGCCTCCTCAGTAGCTGCTTTCTCAAACATAGCCATGGACCTCCTTCCTCCTTGACAGCGTGACACAAGGAAAATGTGAGGTAACAAGGTGGAATCAGAGCACAAGTGTGCGGCGGTTCAACAGTAGAATAATCGGTCTCCTGGTACATGTACTTCAACTGGATCACAAGAATAATGAAGGCGCAAAGCTGATGGGATCTACGGAGTTCCCATGGTGATTTATATGGGGAGAGAGGACTTGTAAGAATGATAGATTTGAGGAGCAGGCAAAACATCAGTGCGAATGCCAGTCATCAACATTAATACATTCTGAAAAATATATCGCTTCAGGTTTGATAGCCTCTTACTCAAACCTGCACTATGGTATCCATGGTGAACAAGGAATATTATTATTATTATCATCTCATCGTAAGATCCGTGAAGAAACTTGCATACACATGAAACGTGAACATTACTTCAGGCTCTGCTCAGTTCCACCTTAGCGAACGCCGATATCAGTTCGGTTAACTGAGTCTTCGCTCGAAGAGATGAGTGGTGTCTGGGCACAGTGAATAAGTCTGCTGCGACATCCCCAATCTTGGTGGATTCTGCCAGAGTATAGCGAGGATATAGAACTTTTTCTGTGTTTCTCAATCTCAACAATGCACCACACAACCGATCTAGTCTTCCGTTGATGGTCTGGAGTGAGAAGAGGAACCGGTTGCGCGGTGCAATGCTAGGGTGGATGAAGCCACGATTGGTTTAACTTCGGATACACTCACATTGTGACCGACCTATCCGAGTTTTAATGCAAAATAAACCGAAGCTCTCAATGAGACCGCCTTTGCCATCCGAGAAAGCAATAAGCACTCGAAAGTCAAACCATGAGATAGGAGACAGACACTCGTAGTTAAGCAGCCACAACACAGGTGATTGTGTCCGAATACAGATTGTATTGCTGAGCTCCAATCTTCAAAGCGCCATTGGTGAAAATCAATTGAGATCTCACCGGATCAGCTGTTAGTTGATATCGTCGCAAAATTGCGCTTTGACATTACCATTGACAAGGAGTGGGGAAAATGTAGTCATTAGGGAGAACTTCGATATTCCTCATCACGGAGCATGTTCAATAAGGAGTGCAATATAGAAGAAATTCGCCACTGCTCCATCAGAGTCTGATAGGCAAGTCGAACAAACATGGGACAGAACTCATCACTGGGGTTGCGGTCACCGTGTCTTAACCAGACAAAGATAAACAATCATTCTTGTGCATCTCCAGACCTCATGTGCATGTCTGGTTGTTGAGGGGCTCGCGACGCAGCTCCATGGGGAGAAGGAAACCCAGCATTCTTTTTACCTACTCCAACATAGCAACCATTCTGCCAAGTTTATGTGAGCAACCAGGGATCACATGTACGCGTCGAAGAGAGAGGTGCCGATGCGATAACCATAATCGTCGTGGTTATTCAACAGACAATCTCCTGTGGGGGTCTGCTAAACCTATCATCTGCTGATAAGTGGGACTTGCTATTGGGAAACTAGTCGGATGACCACATAGATTTGATAGTGCCCCTGATTGACGAAGCCGTTAAAGTCTTGAAATGACGTCAACTACCACAAGCTCGTTATCATATAATGCTCACAGGACACTTCTTCCCCCTAGGCAATACAACCTCATCTATTTCGTTACTGGAGAGTACATACACACGGGAATTAGATGTGTCTGCATAGAGAATGGGCCTAGAAAGTACATCAGAAATATAACATTTCCGAGGTGCCTTTCCTGGTGAGCTGATTGCGGTTCAGTTTCCCGCACTCTTATATGGCCTCGGGATAAAAGGTCTAGAAACTAATAGATATGATTGTTCACACTATCAGAATGAGAGAACCGGTTATGGTAAGCCATTTGCAGAAGCAGATCACTTGCTTGTCAAATGGAGAAGATACTCCTAATACCGTTAATCAGTTAGAAGACGGGTTTGGTCATTGATAATTAAACACTTGCTAGGACCAGTTATTGACTGCAGCGGGGTTCAGCTTGTGATCTCACTCAGTGGTAATGAGGCCATCGCTTCTGAGACAGAGTGCCACAACATATGGAGAAATACAATACAGTGAGAGAGAAGAGAAAACTCAACGACTGCAACCTTTTTTGTTGTAATCATGAGAGTAGAGTCTGCAAACCGTCCACTATTGAGTGCCAGACCTTGACAAATCCGAAAGTTTCCAGTTAGGCGCGATCGTGATACCTCCGCTCCCAGCTCGGGAGACGTGAGCGTCCGACCAAGGCCAACTTTGATGATATCGCCTTCATGCTATGGACCAAAGTCATTGGTTGTCCACCTGGTTTTCGCTTGCACTCGACCTCAGCTTGTGCAGAATGCACGGAGAGGCAATCGTTGGCTGACATGCGAAGCACGTGCCCAAACCATCGTAGCCTATGCAGCGAAAGTATGCAGCTCACCTATGTGCAGAATCTGTCTAATTTGATAGCCCTTCGAGGAACGTCATCGTTACTAATGTGATGTTGCCATCGTAAACAAGAAAAGCAACGGTGAACATGGACATCCACTGAAAATTTATTAAACGAACAGGTCACGTCTCGTAACCATAGGGCAGGACCGCCCTCACCGCTGCATTACAGATCCAGCCTATCCTAGGTCGCGTCGACGCCAGCGATGTTGATTAGCAAAAACAACCCTAGAATGAGGGACGCACAAAGAGACATTACCCGATAAAACTCTAGAACTGAGGCAGCTACCGAGGTTGACGAATCTGTCTATCAATTCCAAAGAATAACCCGAAGGGTAAGGATGGGCGCAACTCCTAGGTAGCCATGTAGAATAACTTACATATCGATGGGGCGAAGGTTATTTCGAACTGGGATACGGACATTTCCAACTTACTCAGTACATTTTGGATGGTCTGCGACGAATCTCAAAGTAAAGCGATGTCGTCTGCATACTACAAGACGTGAAGTCCGTCCCGCGGAAACCGCTCAACGTCACCGGGATTGTAATTATCCCCAACCTTCTTCGGGATGTCGCCCATGGCGAATATGAGCAGGAAGGGTAATGCAAGGGAGCCTGTCTCACTCCAGTAGTGATATCGAAGGTGATCGGAAGTTAGTTGTATGCACGCAGACACACACACGCACATGCTGGGCCTAAGGTTCGGAGAGTAAATGGCTTGAAGAATGTTAACATATCTCTCGGGCACTCCTCTATTTAACGGACAACTCCGGACAGCAGCATGGTCATCAGAGTCAAGAAGTTTAAGAAGACAACGATCGTTGGCCGGCCAAATGTCTGACAATGCTCGAGTATCTGCCGTTCGTAAATGTATGATCGATTCAGCTCCGGCCAAAGTAGAAATCAGCCTGCTCTTCGCAAACCAGGCTGGGACTCATTGAAAACAGTGCAGCAAGTTTATTGAACGCAACGCAAATTAGATTCATCCATCGAAGATTGGCGTGGTCTGTCCGGGTAACCTTTTTGAAGACCGGAACAATATCCTCTAGGTCCCTATCGAGCGGAATTGCTTCAGTGATTCAAATCTCTTGGAGGAATCAGGTCCTTTCCCGTAAAGCCAGTGTGTTTCCACCTCTGAAAGAACTGGAGAATTTGTCCTGGCCACGAGCTCTGTAGTAAATCTGGAGGCGAAACTCATAAGCAATCTCAGTTTTAGATGGTGGTGCAGCGTCTACACACCGTGGATTTCTGAATGAGAACTCTTCGGTGCTGCACGCCAAGTAAACTGCTGCTCGAATTGTTCAGCCCAATGCACATGTGGACGTCGTTGACGGTGAATTGCCTCACTATTGGTATCACACAAAACTTCGCTTACATTTGGCTCTCTGTCATCAGTGGATAGGAGCTGGAGGAGTTTACGGAAATTCCCCGATCTGGTCACTTGCTCAACTCGATGACATCCTGTGTCCACACACTTCCTGGTCCTCGCGGAAGAGTTTCTTTAACTCGATATTGGTAATGCTGTGTAGGGAATGATACACAACGCTAACGTGAATTTGCTCGACGGTCTTCGAGAGGCCGCAGAGATCATGCGCAGACTCAGTGGTTAACATGACTAATTATGAAACCACAGATTAAGTTCGCAGTGTTGCGCATGTGTGTCTCAATGTCTGAGCATGAGGCATCATGAAAGGCGCTCAGAACATTTGAAGTAGGATGCTTATCTATGCCAGAGCATTTACGGCGACGCAGTTGAGTACCACTTAAAACTAGTGCTATTTTAGCACATACGAGTGTATAAAAAAGGCATCAGCATATGCTGGTACGCAGCACCGAGGTTACGCTACCAAGCAACCACCACCAATCGCACGTGGGCTAAGGATACTGCTAGGGTCCCCCGGTCCCTACGCAGGCTCGAACCCGTCTAATCGGATTACAAGGCGGGCTTGTGATCCTTAAGGTTAAGGGCCGGAATAAATTGCCAAACACGACAACTGGATTGCTAATCGAATAAGGCAGATGCACTATGATAATCCCAATGATGAGTAAAAGTCTATACTGGTGATCGCCGCAGAAACCATCACGCAAAACACGTTACTGGCAGTCTATAAACTAACAACAACTGATAGATCCACGTGTAGTATGTCATTGTTTCATCAAAAATAAATACTCAAAGCTGATGAAGCAATTTATAGCATAATAAAAGTACAAAATAATCAGCTGATCATGGCGCATAACACTGTACAAGCAGGCGTGGTCAGATGAATCGACAATCGCACCAGAGCAAAACGTTTTCCTTTATGAAAGTCGTCATGTCGCATCACCATGACATAGCAGGCGCCACGACACGATGCTCGGGAAACGGGGTATCCAATGGAGGCATCGCGTGTGACGAATCATACTTATCGGGAAACGCGCGACGAAATTGAAGGAAACGAAGAGATGGACAGGGGGAGAATATATTTCGACGTTGACCATTCCGCTGCTGCATGCAACTGGGCAACTTCATCTCCGTGTAACGACGTTTCTTGCCCAATTCGCATTTAGCTACACCGTCCAAATGGGAAACAGAGGATGCCTGCTTCATCGGACTCTGTGGATGGAGATTGTTAAAAAGTGAGAAAGGGTTAATTATATATCCGAGATTAATGTGGTGTGACCAAGTCTGATTCACCATATAAGCAATCGAACTGACTCACTTGATCTTTCAGGGAAATATATGCGAACGTGCATGCTGCTAGGAGAGTTGATAGTTCGTCTCAACTCCCATAACTATCACTATGATGACTGCCGCTCACGGCACAATGGTGTGAGTGAACTGGTTCATTGGAAGGAGAGATCTTCAGTGGAGCACTTGTGGCTGACGATAGACCATGCTACCCAGCGCCGATTTCACTGACAAGCAAAGCTTGATTTACTAAACATGCGCCAGCACAAATGAAATCGACGGCTATGGTTCTGGCCATCAGCCTCCGAAGATTTACCAACTCCAGTGCAATGGAGTGAGTGTGTTGGGTCACACGTTCGGCATTCCATCATGCGCGAAAATCTAATTCATAGCCATCGGGTGCAAATCTGGAATCGATCTCACCATTAATGGCCAGATCCAACGGTGCACAGACACAAAGGTTCACCTCCTTTGGATGTGGCAATCGTTTGTGAATATTTTATCACGAATCACTCTTCCACGGGACGCTACAACGTAGTGTTCACAGTTCAACTATTTGAGACAACTCATGTTATCAGCAGAAGCGCCTCAGAACGATGAATAGAAGTAACGAGTGAAGAAAAGTTATGAACGCAATCAGCTCGAATGAAATCAACACACGAAGGCAACCAACCATGTGAAGCGTTTAAAAAGCAAACAGTAGTGAACGAGACTCACTTCGCTCACAGACTGCCTACATGGATGAACAATTTTACGCGATAAATCAGGAACGATGTTGTATTTGATGATAGCATGTCAATGATGTGGAATGCATGAAAAACGCGGCCAATCCCAAAATCGACAACCTCCATTGAGACTAGAAAAATCCATCGTGGTTTTGACACTATCGGAACAGCTTAATGCGTTTTAGGAGCGCCAAATTAGACAAGTGGCATTGAGAGCATATCTAAGGACAAATGGGGCATCGGATGGAACAGCCATCCTCCCTGGCACAATGATTCTCAGAATAAATGGTTCGCAATGCTAGTATCACATTCACCCATTCACAATGATGTAATGCCCACAGACTAACGATCAGTTAGATGCCAAAGCATGTACCTCATGTGTTAGCAAACTAATCACGAGCTTCACCAAGAAGAACAGCGTTACATGAACCGGTAAGAACAAGAACGTGTAGAACATGTAACTTGTTCTGCCTCCTATAAATGCGCGTCCAAGGTAAAATCTAGGGACGAGTCAATTTGCCGATTCGATTGCGAAATATCCGGCCTCGAGTAGATTGGACTTGAAAGACAGGTAGAGTGCCAGATTATTGGTGAGGATACGATGTGAGGTACAAGCCTACGAGTTAGCTCATTAGCAAAGTAAGCGAACTGGTGCACATACCGAGATATGAACTGTAAAGAAACACATACAACGAGCAAGAATAACTAGCAAGCGCCCACCTGATCGGCTTCGTTGATCGTATCTCCACAACGCACAGGCAGTATGGTAATCGAGCTGCGTCTCGCTAACGTCACAATTCCGGGTTTCGCCAGATGGGGCGACAGCGATGAACAAGTTGTCGGAGGACCTCGCAACTCCAGTCTATCGTCCAATGTAGCAGACAAATGAGTAGGATTCAGATGCGAATGCGCACTCCCCGTGCCTCTCCGCTCTGCTTCATCCAGACGCAGGCCGCACTGATGAGAGTCGGACTGCTTGGACGGTATCGAAAATGGAGAGGTGGGTGTTAGTGATGCCATAGTCGAACCGTGGAAGACTGCACTGGTGACCATAGTGGGAGTCGCGAAACGGATGCCCATGCGTAATGGAGGAGAACCTTCCATTGCGCTGCAGTGACCACATGGGGAACAGGCGGAAGGAGATGATACAGCGTCGCAACGACGGGAAAGGTGAGCCGCACCTGAGGCATATCGGGCACACGTTTGATTAATCGGCGAGGATTGCACTCGCTTCGAACAACTCAATGTGTCTCCACCAACCATAGTGTGTGTCAACTCCGAGCTGTTCGCGTGTATGTCCTCGGCAAGAGACAGTGGTATCAAGAATACATCCATTCCGACTTCAAGCAGAGTGGTGGCCATAGAAGCCATGCGCTTGTATCGCTCATGACATTCGATGGGGAGAAATTTCGAAGACTGAAAAATAAAATGAACATCGTTTAAAACCTTACTGCCTCCTGTCTGTAATTATATCCATATAGCATACGAGTCTCATGAACCCCAAAAGTGCAGTACAACGGAACATAGCCTACATCACACCGAGATTCAAAGACAACACTCCATAAATCTCATGAGGAGTACATTGTAACCGATGGATCCGAAACGGAGAACAGAAACCTAATTGACATACGCTCACGTACAACTCACTTTTGTGCTTGAGCTCAAATTTTCTATCACATTGTTAGGGAACAGTACCGGTCCGAACACCGTGCCCAGACAGACGCTGTTCATGCGGTTCTCCGATTCCAGTTTGACCACTCGAAGTAGTAGCCGGAGTAGTCGCACCAGAACGCGTTTATTCGGCTGTGGCAGCAGTTGGAGTAGAATCCGGAGGGCTTTAATTTGTTTGCTCTCTACAAGGATGGTGTTCACCACCGAATCCTTGTTGTCTATGGTGGACCCCTCTGTCGAGCGATTGGCCGACTGCGGCAACATCACCGATTCGAAGGCGTTCATTTTCGAGTCCACCTTCTTCAGACCTACACGAAAATGTCACAGTTAATGTGTGCGTATATTGTCAGTGCACAAAAAGCGAGTTGATAAATGTTCCGATGGGACGCAATAAGGCCAAAGACCCATAGGCAGAAGTAGTGTGTTAGACGCGCCACCGGCTTGATTGATCGAGAGGGATGGAGTCTAGCACAAGTCGCGACTCTAAGGCTATGATTTTACATGTTCAGACGTCAAGTCGACAGATGCTACATGGGCAGATGTGCGCATATCAGTCGATGCTGTGAGTGCTATCGTCATGATTAATCGAGGGGCACTCTCATAGCTGAACGTAAAGGATGCAAACTACAGCCAAGGGAGTGTCGCCATTGCCAACGGGGTTGATTTTATGTACATAATGGGCCTCACGATTGGCATCAGTTAGACGACGCCCAATGCAGATTTCTCCATGTAAAAATCGAATGAAACGATTCGTATAATCGAGTAGTATTAGTACACAGGGATGCTATGAGTGAAGCCACTGCTGAATCACGATGACCCTTCATGCACCTACTAAGATCGATGTGACAGGACCTAAACAGTGATGTTGCCGAATTGACCTGACGGGTGTACTTTAAGCGATACCACAATATGTGGGCCAGCGATCAAGCGGCAGGCCGGAATGTGCACGCAAGCGAGATTTGCGTACTTCGCGCCGTCAGCTACGCTGGTGAACAGGACTGAGCATGTTCCGATCGCTCCACGCTTACGACCACAATGCACAAGTGTGGCGAACGCATGGACGAGTTCATGGTCACATCTGCTCCATGGGCTTCAGGCCTGGACAGCGATTCGAACAGCGAAGTACATCCACTAGACAGTATCTTAACCCATGCACCGCGTGCATAAATAACCCTCTGCGGCTCATGCGAACGTTCGCTTAACCAAATGTGGATGTCATATCAAGGGAGAATTAAACCGAGACCATCATTGAGCTGGTCTGTCTATCAAGCCAGTGGTGGTATGTAATAAAGATCGGATGCGCGTAGAATTGGGAACGAATAACCAACCTCCATTAGCGCAGAAGTTTCCAGCATTTTAGTTGGCAAAATCGAACATGATGTCGGACGCACTCCAATAACTTTTCAACCTGAACTATCTTGCGGGACCGTAATCGAGACCCATATTGTTCCCAGATTCCTCGTAATCATACTTTGTTGAACCACAGTTCAACCGGAGCTGGCTATGAAATCCGTGGCACAAATCGGGACCAGTCCACCCACCCAATTAACATGTTAGACAATCTATGACGTGCAGGCTACGCAGCTCAAGGTCACACTGCTGCTCCGACATTCCGACTGTTGCTTCCGGTAGGTACGGTTTGGATGTGAGTCAGTTCACAATAGAGAGCTTATACAGTATTCATTCAAAATGTCAAACATTCTGACAGGTGATCGCCGAACGAACAGCCTCGAATGCTACATAGATAACGAATAACTTGTTCCATTTTCGATATGGCTAAGTCGGTCGAATTTGCAACGGGTGAGATGAATTGAATGCAAAAAATTGTGTTACGCTTGAAGTACACACATCCTACTAAACGATGCTAAGGTGGACAAATATTAAGTCCAGACTAACTGAACATGACATATCGTTTAACACTTACCGGCCACCTGAAGGAACAGAGGGGTCAGACGGTCAGTGAGCAACGGACATGGAAGCTTGATGAGGACAGACTTCAATGCTGAGGCCAAATCGTGAGTGCTGTACGCATCCCACAAGAAGCAGTTTGGATTGAAAGAAGGCTGAACGAGGGCCTCGTGTAACTGTCGTTTGCGAAGTATGTGACCGGTCTTGCGAAAGATGCCTTCCATGGAACAAGCTGAAAAGAGGACAATGCGATTCACCATAACCTTACGAGTCTCGGCAAAACAGATTGCCTAAAATTCCACATCGCTTAGGTCACCAAGCTAGTGAAGTAATACATACACAAATCCGAGCTCTAATGCAACATGCATGAAGGTGCCCCAACGCTTCACCACTCACAATGTTCAAACAAGCAGATCACGAGGCAAGTTACATATAGCATCTGCACAAACGTCACAACGCATGTCAGGGGGTAATTAAAACGAATTCGCTGGTGCCATAAGGAAAACTGACAAGAGATGATTTCGATCCCCATAGACCACATGAAATACATAAAACACACAAGTTAGTGTTCAAGGGTCATAATTCTGCGGTGCACGGATTATCAGGCACCCAAACCTGTATGCTCCTAATCGGACAGACGCAGTCATGATCCGACACTTGCTTCGGCTGATGACTTTCCTGTAGTTCACGGTTACGCTCAGAGGAGAACCTACAGAGTGTGGGATAAACATCTTGTCCCAATTCAAAGTGGCCTTCCCAATGTATGCACACCTCATTTTTCATATGCCATGGAATGTTCCGATCCGAACACAACAGTTAATGTTTGTGACTCCGTCATTGAATTACTCTAAATAGGGAGCACCAGGTGCAGATGCGCCGGTATAAATTTGTACGGTTAGTCCTTCATCTACGCACAAGTGAAAACCAAGTCGCTGGATATGCAGAATGAGGCTATAGGTCGATCAGGTCGACTGTTTCATCATTTAGGCCAGTAGTTCTCTACCTGGGGGTAATAAAATGGAATTCTACGTGGGGTAAATATAAGTACGAGGATTGGGTCAGCAATCTGTCGCCAAAGAAAATTAGTAACAAATTTATCTCTGTCGAAACATGCAACTAGCTAACTAACCAAGTAATTACTACTGATCGGTCATCAGTGACTAAGCATTAGTGGATAGGACAACTTTCGTTATTAAATTGTATTGCCTAAAATACGAATACAAGCGTGCAAAGCTAGATGGCACCTATATCTGTTCGCTCGTCGATCGTTGTTCTTATGAGCCAGGCTATCGTTCACCGAGTCGAATTACAGAGTTAAGTGAACACTAATGTGGGAGCATAGGTCAGCCGATTAGGTCAAGGAACGAGCGAATGGTGGCAAGGTGGAAGGGACAAAACAGGCGGTTAGTGTTCAGGGCGTACTGATACAGATTGGTGATTGGAAACAGTCATCTAGGACAGATTTGGTAGGGATGGTTGAAACTTTTGAGAAGCTATTGGCATCTGTTCATGTTTGATCAGGGATCACACACCAAAGCAAGGAACCAAGTGAAGTTGGAGCACGACTTATGATGTTCATTAGTCGAAACCGCACCAAGTATACCAAAATTGTTGGAACAAAGCAATAGCAACCGTGTCATTGATGCACATCATCCCATGATTATTTTAAAGTGGCTCAAAATCGGTGTATTCTTTATTTGAATGCTGAAATGCAATTAAAAAGTATTCATTTTCCGTAATGTAAAGTAAAAGGTGCAGTGGCTTACAGGTAATTAGCTTACTAAACTAAAATTTTTGAGGGGTAATTGTTTAGAACGAACCCGATGGTGGGTAACAGCCTCAAAAAGCTTGAGAACCCCTGATTTAGACGAAACCGCCCTCGTGTAGATGGCTACATGTTACCACATTTCCGTTGATTGACCCAGTGACCAACTGATTGACGCAGTGGAATGAAAACCTTACTCACTCTAAAAAATGTCTACCCGAGTTGGCTGTAACTAAAACGGAATCGTATCGCACACTTTCCATGGCGGTGGAGCGAACAAGGACGACTTGGCGATACGTGTCTTCCTAGTCCGTAAAGCGCCAAACGAATTAAACCAATTGAGTGCTTTCCAGCCAAAACAAGGAGATGGGTGAACAATGGATCAGGAAGGCTCAAGTGGAAGAATCACACATGTGGCCACTGAATTACAAACCGTCACAGTGCGTACTACGTTTCATGGTTGGATGCGAAACAACTCCGCGTTTCCGTTTGATTGATAAATGCAAACAGCGATTGAAGCCCATTAAAAAGCTAGTGAGTAAGGCCGCCGAGTGTACATCTTTCGCACACACACCCTCACACACACACACACACACACACACACACACACACACACACACACACACAGTAGAGCACAGCGAGTAGCTCTGATGAGAACGATAAAATTCATGAGACAGTGGCTGAACCAGGATCAATCGCACCACCAACGTAGGCATGCAAAGCTGACGCATTCTTCAGTGTCATTGGTGGAGAAAAGTGGGGTCCGCTTTTCAAACACACCACGCGATAAGACACGTAAAGACAAATGGTATCTCACCACTAAAGCTGGATCGTGCTGCATAGTTGCGAATTACATGGGTGGCTGAACAAGATATTCACTCAAGTAACGAGCCAAGCGCGCAGGAAGCATGCATTAGGTCGGGGATGGATATCCCCAATCTTGGTTGTACGTCATTTTCGAGTCCCACTGGGGCGAAGCAGCTGTCCTGAGTGTTCCGGAGTGTGGTGATTGACCGTGTTTGACTGCAGCGAAAGTTCTTAATAACATTAAAAATATACCCAGTACTCTGTAACAACATCAACCCCGTTCCCCATTGGTGTAGTGGCCGTGCAGTGCCCACCCAGTGTGGAACGCCCAATCAGTTTATTAGGCGCATGTAATCGGATTGGGAATCCTCTCGCTGTGCATACTATCCGGAAAATGGCGATCGCCCTGAAATCAATCCGAAGTGAGAGTAAGCTGGAACTGTCGCCAGCAGTTCCAACTTTTGACACAACCTCATTCGTGATTACAATAATGGATCACTAATAACTATGTGACCCAATCTTAATTCCTTGAGTCGGAAAGCGAACTAGCGTGCCACGTATGCCCAATTCATGATTTCCACTCCGCCCACAATGCGACGTCCCGTGGCACCAGACCCGAAGGGCAACAAACTTGTTACCAATGGAGGCAGGTGCGTGGATTACGAAAACACGCCCACCAACACAGCGTTCACAAGATTAGATCCCCATAAATCGCTGTAATCCGTGTCACATGTTCACGCCTGAGGTAAAGTGGTGCGATCAACCATAACAGAGACTGCACCAACACTGGGGCATGGAGGCTTTCGTGAGACAAGATGACCAGTGTGTGCGTGACCTAGTGGCCACTCCCTATAGGCACTAATCGGTAAAGTTGCAGAGAGCGAGAAAAACAGCAGTCTCATTTGTTTAACAACTCGCAAAGCAGCTGTTCGGATAATGTTGACGATCGCAGTTGCCTATACAACCGTAACATTGGTAGCAATTGCCGGGACGGGAGCAGTTACCAAAAGTACAGGCAGAATGTGAAGTTGTTGAGATAAGCTTGGAGAAATAACACTCTGGTGGACTATGTAGACCAGGTTACCGGAGGGGGAAGAAGTTGCAAACCAAAACCCGTCTCTGGATGCGGTGGGGATGGCACTAAATTAGTTGAACCTAATACAGCTGAACAGTTGTGCAATCTGCGCGCAAAAGCAAGCAATCACACTTCATTCTGAGGATCCGCTAGTGGAGAAACCAAAAGGCATCACACAGAACGAAGTAAAAGAATCGCACCACATTAGGGCGGTAACGTTCCATGCCTGCCGCGCGAAATTCAAATAAGTAACAGATCCCTTAATATCTGGTAAAATAAACTTTGTTTGTTGATGAGAGATAGCTCAATAAATCTAGAACAAACACACTTAAGTTGGTTAGCAAAGTGCACATTTGTGCTAGGTATATATAGCAAGAACGGGAGTAGCTTGTGAGTTAACGGCTGCCAAGCTGAAGGGTATGCTTGCGTACGATTGAACATAGCTTAATAGGTGTATATTCTGTTTTTTGACAGCTAAAATATAAGCAATTAGGGCCAGGGACCGAATATTAAACCCTTATGGGCAAAACACGAAAATTTGTGCACTAGAACAAACCACTGGTTACATTCTGAAGATTAGTTAGATGCTTTTGCACGCTAGAGTTTACGAACAGCAATTCCTTATGCTCCATTTACCTGGTAGATTGGTGGAACAATACCCATTACAGTCCATTCTCACTGCGATGCAACAGCTTCAGTTAATCTATCGCAAGAATCTCTCTTGTTTGGTGGGACTGAACTGCAAACAAGCCAAATCTGAAGTAAATCAACTGCATTGTACCGCACCGGTGGGGATTGCGCTGTTCATGCAGTAGGCCATTAATATGTCGAAACCACATCAGATTCAGCGAACACGGAGAATGGAGCCAGTGAACATGATCTCATCAAAGTCAAACGGTGATTCGATATAAACAGTACACCTGCGAGCATGGAAATAAATGGGCAGAGGAGACGCTTATTGGCTCGAGTTGTATCCCGATGCCCAGAATGCTTTGCGCCATAAGGCGACTATGACGGTCGCGACATAATTGGTGAAGTAGGGTTGCAATAAAGAAATGATTCTGGTTGCAACCATGTTACCACAGTCAGTGAGACCTGGAAAACGATGCGGAAGGTACCGCGATTCGAAGGAACAGGAATTATTTTTGAAAGACAAACAGCAAAGAAAACAAGCGGCAATTCACCTACCTTCATCCGAATCCAGTCGATCAATCAGACTGATCAAGTTGCTTGCCAAGTGGGTAGGTATCAGGTCCGTTCTCAGTTGTTCTACAATAACCAGATTGACGGGTTGGATAGAGATGAAACGGAACTCATCAGTAGGACGGCGGTCCCACTTCATAAACCATACAAAAGGTAAACAACCATTCTTTTGTCCGTCCAGACAGCATGTAAAACCTTAGATGCTAGTTTCACGCGTGAACTAGTTTCTTGTGGGTGGGAAAACCAGACATGTCTCGAACCTGACAACTGTCCCGTCGTGCATTTGTGATTACTAGGATGACACTTGCACCACGTGACGAGCAAGTCACAGTGGTAGTCCCAAACTAAGTGTCGACGCACGTGTAAACCGGTTGTCGTCAACTGATCGGTGGACACCACGAGTAACGCTCAGCTCGGTAAGCTACACAGATATTGGTCCACACATCTCCAGCTACACAAATAATACAATACCCATAGACAACTGACGATAAGTAACATAAGGTGTTTGGATCAGGCTTCAAACATAAAGGCAAAAGGAATTCGGTAAGCAGACAGATAACAGGCAAAGTAGTGAGAATCTGCAGTCATCTCGTTACTTACAACCGATGTGGAGCGGCGAACAGCTCAATGGCCTGAGAATGAAAGTTCGCAAACTAGACAGCAAAAGTAATGTGGAGCAGTTTCACTCGTTCAGGGCACATCAGCATTATGCTACCTCCTGCTCGACAGATCAGGAATATTACAGATAACTGGCATTCCAGCTGAAAACACGTGAGAAGCTGGGGGTTACATAGTGAATAGACTGAAGGGGGGCAGCTACCGATGCAACATTTATCATTCTGTCACCGTAGGCCCTTTCCCCAATACATTATCCAATGCAGCATGTGAACGAACAACCAAATTATCGTCGTCAATTAAGCAATGCGATTTGCAACGACATGCAGTTTCTCTGCCTCAGTGTGGACTGATATGCCAGACTGCTGAATGGCCGACTCATCCAGACGATTACTCCCATTTGTCCACCCACCTGTCGCCGCCCGATGAGAGAGAACCATTAAGATTGTTGAGACAAGTGCACGGTTCAACCCATTTGTCATCAAACAGCAAGCAGGGTCAGATGGACGCATGACCTGCAATCAGATCTGAATGAAGATGGCAAGGCAGTCTGTGACCTTTAGCTGCAGTCGCATTAGTGATGGGAAGCTATTTTATCGAATCTGTCTGTGGGCTGGAGACGGAGCCAAAACGAATAGGTCAGTGAAATGGTAGAGCCGATCGCAAATTTCATACACTATCAGCAAGGCCCGTGTGGTTTTCCAGAAGCTCAACCATTTAAGGAGACGGCGGGTTATCAGCCTGTCAGTGAAAGGTAGGGTGTATAACGTTGCGGTAAGGCCGGTGTTACTGTATGGCTCGGAGACCTGGCCAGTTTGTAGTGAAGATATTAAACGCTTGGCGGTGTTTGACCACCGGTGCTTGCGGAGTATTGCTCATGTCTGGTGGGAACGCCGGGTGAGTACTGCTGAAGTCCGCCAGTTGGTTTTGGCGAGAAGCCTTCTGGTGCCTCACTCGAATGTTGGCTGAGTCTTAGTCGCTTAGGTTGGCTAGGCCGTCCTCCGTATGCCCGTTGATCAGCTTCCTCGGCGTGCATTATACGCCGTGGCTGCACCAAGCTGGGCGAAACCGCGGGGTGGCCAGACCATGACGTGGCTGAGATTTGGTCGGGTTGGTGCGTGTCGTCTTCGTGGATGGGGGCCTCGTGGTGGTCCACATCATTGACTGGAGACCATGTCAGACGGCGCAATCACGCAGTCAGTGGCGTTCCTGCATTCGATTTCTTGCATCTGGTTGTTCATTCCTGATCCATTCTGATTAGTTTAACGAACCACCTTATTGTTTCCATTTTCTTTACATTCCATTTGCCTTTATCCCCGTTGCCGTTGTTATTTATTGCTATTCTTGTGATATGCGTCGTGGCAACTGGATCCACCGCATGTCGGTGCTCGGAACATGGCTGATCAAGTAAAAATGAAGTAAACTATATTTCATAGAACACGGAGTGAGTATGCTAGTCCAAGAGACATTTTTGCATTTCCACAACAAGTGCTTCAAGACGACCCCCAATATTTACAAATTCCCCAGTCTCCAACGAGGTCCTGTGCACTCCATCGAGATTAGATGCAGGTTCGGATGAAACGATGGTGTACCACACTTTGGCGCGGTTGGGTCTACACGTCCTCGAAGGAGAGCAATCGTGATCACAGTCGTTGTTCTTCCAGACAGGCGCAAGGTGAAAAGTGGATCAGGAGCCCAAAAGTAGTTCAACCGATACCCCAGGTGGTTCAGCGAACTAGTGCTAGACACTGCGGCGTACGCTTAGCAAGGGTGTGTTGCGCAGATCGGTAAGTTTGCTCCCAAGTTCGGGTAGAGGATTCTTATATCCTGGCCTGCAAATCGCTGGATAGATATGTAATGACCACGTAAGCCCAGACTGGCTAGTTTGGCAGCTTGTGCTAGAATCAAAGCTGGACATCCACCAAAACGGCATCGAATTACTGCAGTTACACATATGGACGATTCTGTAGGTGGCAACGGATGTAAAAACCCACAGACACGACGAGGATATAAGAGGAAGTGGTACAAGCGGAAATCTAAATAAGAAACTTCATGGACCAGACTCTACTAGCCACTAGAATCATTAGTTCTGTTGAGAAACACAACTGTTTGCAATCTACTGTCACATAACGGCGATTCGTAACATATTTAGTCGAAGATGGGATAGTGCGCAAACGTCCTGCATGGAAATTCCGCCTTGGAAGCATGTTCAACCGAATCAACAGCAAAGACGGTAGAATTGCGAAGCGAATCATTGAAGGATTTCTGTCCATTACTTAATGAGTGATCGTGCCGCCGTAAAAAGGACAATCTGATCGGATATCCGCATTGAAGCAGAGGACTGAGGACGATAGTGCGCGGTTCAACAGAGTATTCAGTCATGAGTGGCAAGACGGTCGGATGTGTCGTAACTTACTGTTAAGCTAAGTACTTGTCGTTCACAGTACCGATAGCGGTGTAATTGGTATTGTCACAGCATATGGATAAATAATTTGACGGATAGAAATCTGTCAAACAGCAACCAACGGAGTGGGGTTTCATCATATATCCACCATTAAGTGGAAGTTCTTGCCATATCCGAGAGCGTTTACAGGCAGAAGTGTTCGTGGTCCACGGGCCCCCAGCCCAAATGTGCGACACTAGACGAGGGCCAAAGTTGCGATTAACGACTTCAGCCCAAGTCACACGCTGATCATTATGATTTTGCTTCCAGCCGACTTCATTTAACGAAAAGGCACAGTTAAGTAACCGCTGAGTTGGCATATGTAGCACGTGCCCAACCCACCAAAATAGTGCAGCTACGTGATCTACAGAGCCCATCTAGTTTGGAAATCCATCGACGAATATCATTATTATTAATGTGACATCGCCGTTATACGCTAGTAATGCTCCGAAGGCAGCGGTAAGCAAAAACAGACAGCCTAAGGATGCAGCTACGAATAGGACAAGTTTGCAGCCATAGAGCAGAACCACACGAACAATAACATTGTAGACAGACCTACAGAGGAAGGTAAAAATCACGTTAATGCCAAGGATGACAGAGGCTAGCAAAAGCAACCAGATCCTTATGGAAGCCGTAAGAGACCTCGTCTGGAAAACCGAATTAAACGATTGTCTATTAGCTTCAAAGGATAACCCGGAGCGGTGGCAGTAGAAGCAGCTACTGGGATTCGGTAGACAGAATGCCTGTGTGACATGCAGAGATGAGTCACTCAGGAGTGGATAGATTATGTGAACTATCACCACCAACTCCGAATTGCTGAAGTCGAATAGCTTAAGTCATATAAATATCTCGCAGAAACCGGTTGGCAAAGCTGAATATACTTCAGCTTGTGCCGTACACTAACGCATTTCTCCTTCACGCCTGAGACCATCTTTCTGACCGAAAAATGGGCAGTGGGAGGGATCCAATCGCCTGTGCCCTCACAATTCAGCTCAGGCGTTGTTGGAAAATGTGTGAAAAATGGCCGCGTGAGTTGGTGCACTCACTGCGTTAGAAGATTAAACTACGGACTATTATTACGTGTGGCAAATCATTGAGCAAGCTACTCTTATATGGTTCTGTGGAAACTTGAGTGAGAGTTCTCCGCGAGTCTAGAAAGACAGTCACTGTTCCCAATTCGTGACTCAGCACAGCTAAGTAGGTCAACCAGTTGGATGGTGTTGTGCAGCAATCCTGGCAAGTCGCCAGCTCGGGAGTAAAATGTAAGAATCCACCGTTAGGGCAGAATTGATGTATGCAAACATGTCAATGAAATCGGATGAAAGTTCCGCTCTAGGGCGCTAGCCGTAGTAGCTCAATCACAAACAGCTGCTTCATTTCAGGAGAACAGATTCAAAACCCATAAAAATTGACACGGCGGTATTTGGCCCGCATCACGCCAAACCGTCACATGCCCAAATGAAGAAACGTTGTAACATGTTGCACGTGACGAACGGTAAAGTGCGCAACGATATGTTATTCCCGATTTGGAGTGCCTAAGGGAATTCTGTGGAAACCGTGGGTAATTCGTCCTGGAGTTGTTAAAAGATGGGATGGCGGACATATTTAAATTATTACTTGTTCCCATAATACAGTACTTAGTAGACATTACCCGCACAACCTGCATAGACAAGCAGTCAGAACAAGTCGCCGAAAGAACAGGGATTGTCAGAGGACAAAACAACAATCCATAAGACAGGAGTCCCGCATTCTTACCAAGGTATCGAGCCTTGTTTTGTGGAACAAGTAATGCCATCCCGTCGCTAATTCGGACGGTGTAACAACCGCACATACTAGCGACATGTGGATTATGTAAATTTAGGGGAACTCACAAGAAACTGTCGCTAGGTGTGCGAGGAAATTTATGCAATATACCGACGAGTAGAAGCCATCAAAAAGATAGACAGCTAGTTGGGAAAAACCGTAAAACACCCATAAATGGCACTTACGTGGGTTAATCTTCGCACCAATCAGCAATCGCTTGAGAGCAGATTTGTGCATAAAGTCTTGTGGTGGTGTGCTCAACTGCTCAAACATATTCCACGGAACGTCGATTAGGAACGACAGATGTACTATGCATAGTTCCTGGAACCGATGTCTGAATCTCTCGCGAAATTCTCTGATAACACCATCTTCGGGCACTCCTTGCCTCAGGCGAGTGGCATAATCCTGAACGATGCTCTGTAGATACCAAGCTTAGGCGGAGGAAACGCACACTTACCGTCGCTGCACTCATCTCTGAAAGATGTCACTTTAGACGCCCAGGTGCCGAATTCAAATATGGGGCGCTACAGGACCGATCGATGGAATCACGCGAGCCGACTGTAGACGAATAGGCGCAGCGAGACTGATTTGCTCGCCGTACGCCATTGGCAGTTCGCTCTGGCACGAACACCTGACACCGATGCAGCTCTTCGTGAGTCAGTGGACTAACTCTACGTCGATTGGTTGAGCCAAAAATGTGGATTGCAAACACATGCAGAAACACCGGAGAAGGGTGGGGAGGAGGAACAGCTTCAGCTACCCTCCGCTTAATCTGGTCCGATCCAGAACGTATGTCACAACCCAAAAATATGTGGCGAAGTGCCGTCTATGTGGTTTTCATGTGTATGAGACAGGCGAGGTGTTTACATCAGCCTAGACAGATGTGGTACCATACTGATTGTCTTAGGCTTAGCGACAAATTGGCTACTAATGTGGCGAGTGCAATGGGCACTCGCCATAATATAAGTGTGATTGGAGGATAGTTACCAGAGTAACTGCAGTCTGGATGGAAGGGTCATCGTATGACCATCGCCAAACTGATGGCATCACTTCCCTGATGGTTGCTAGCGGTGAAGTGCATTGCCAGTGTGCACTCCGGTATTATCTCTGGTTTGGGCGGCTGGTAATGCGGGTCAATTAGGATGGCGAAGGATGCAACCGCATCTGCCCGCGATGATTATTTGTGCGTATTGCACTGAGTGCTTCGGTCGACGATCTTACAGTCGGTTTCTAGCTTTCTTGCTAACGGCAGCCCATTGAGTCACTGAAATATTGCTGCAAGCGCAACCCGGGAGTGAAGATGGTGGAGCAGCTGGTACCGGAAAAGGTTGAAAGTCATCAACAGATGTTGCACTAGCAACTGGTGCTATCAACACGCTAAATACAGCTGGCCTTCTTAAAGTTAATCGGTTTCGCATGTGGATTGAAGCTGCAATCGCTCTTATGCCAACCTGTGACGCAGCGTGGAACGACATTAAACGAATCACCGTTTTACTGATAATGTGCTTCGTGTGTTGTGTTGTGGAAGGGTTTTCTATGCTTATATATACCACCGACAGGAAGCAAGCGTTTATTCTAGAGTGAATGGAGATTTTTAGTGCTTTGAGATAGTTCGTTACAATTAGACACTTCACATCCAGAAGGGAGCTAGGCATCCATTTCATCTTGTTGGAGCTTGTCTGCAGTATGTATCTCATCTGAGTCTCACCGGATTTAAATATGTGATTTTCCTCCCAGCAATCAGGGACTTAAGCAACGGAGTCCTTTGTGACTGCGGCGGATCAGTCCCAGCCCACGAAGTTACTACTCGCATGCAACTAAAAGCACTTGTTACTCCTTGGATCACTTCGTAAGTGGTAGGCCAGACTAGGAGAAACTTGGCTGGAGCTGCAAAAAGTTGACTCCAAATTGCGAGCTCACTGTACCCCTCATTACAGTTTTAAACAACAAACTTTGTACAATAAATCTCTGGTTTGGACAATCGAAAGTTGATTGTGGTTATCAACGTTGCGCGGCAGCATACAACTGCCGCTTTTCTGAGCCATTATCATCGATTTACGTGCCATACCATTCACCCACTATTGGGTTTTTCCGTTCGTAGCCCGAATTGGCTGGTCGGTTGCGCATTACCCCAGACTCAGATAAGTTACAAAGTGTACTGGTATTCGGCAAACAAAACAGAGTAAAATGTGAGTATTTCAGTTGCAGCGATGCGCACAATAGGCCACAACTAGACCCACAAATCACGTCCTGTATGTAATATCACTAGCAATAAACAGGGATGAGTATTAAAAGCCGCAAGGAGAAAAGAAAGAATACGTGGATTAGTTGTTGCAAATGACAGTTTTAACGTTCAATAGGAGAAACAGGAGAAGAAAACTTCATGATTATTGAAAATTTTGATTCGGCTAAGCCAATTGTTCTCGAAGAGGTATAAAATTCGCATCTTACCGTTCAACAACATTCTGCTGATGACCAGGGCGCTTGCCGGAATGACGTAACCAAGTCCCCTGGATGCAGTTCGTACTAGCTAATAGTATTGTGTTATAAACATGTGGGCCACATGATTAACTGATACTTGTTGGTATTATGATGGTATAAAATTATTACATAACCGGTTGTTTCAACCACGAAGCCATGTGCCATACTCCGTATCACTAGTTGGTCGCAACTAGCTGTTATTTGCAGAAATTCGTAAGAAAACATACGACGAATCAACATGCCCTATACACTGGCAGTAACTCTTGTACTCAATATGAATTAAACAAGAAAGGAGATAACTTTTACTGTGCCATATATGGTCACTTGCAGGACTGAAGTACTGGTGGACAACCCTATTCAAACGACCCAACTAAGATATACCAAGCTGCATTAACGCATTCGAGTATGCTGCATCTATACATATGCTACTGTACCCTGTACTTCCTAACTTGACTGGCATGTAGCATTGGGCTTGATGATTGGAAATTCACCCGTATTTGGTGCGTACAAGGGCATTCTCTACTTGACTTTAGGTCAGTGACCGGTTGTCTTACTCCAGTTGTCGTTACCACGGGAGAACAAATCGAAATTGGAGAGCAGAAATAAAGAAAATTGAAAGCAGCATAGAATCCATTCACTCCTCTACTTCTACACAATAAACAAAATGTATAAGTTGCGATGTTACAGATTTTGTCCCGTTTATTGAAATCCAAAGCGAAAGCCACAGCTGTCGGACACGAAACTGCCGGTCTTAGAAGAGTTTCTAACAGGCGGAGAATGTACCTGGTCATTTGTTCAGTTCCACTGCCTTAGATCAGATGCAACCTTAACTATTACTGCAAAAGCGAGTTATATGCTAGAGAAAGTCACAGAGCTTATCAGTTACACATGCATATTCATAATGTACGTGGAACCTAGGCTCGCTCTTCATAAGCAACTTGCTCGGCCGCTCATAAACATTGCCCGCTGGTGTTGCGTAATTTCAGCAAAAATGGTAGCGTAGCGATGGAATAAGTACACCGTTCGTGCTCTAGATGAATCGTGGATTTTCCGAGTTCAACTACTGTGCACACTGCAAGCTCATCGGGCTGAATCGTCTCTGATTTCGTAGCACAAAAATAAACCTTGCATTCCTTCTCCAAATTTTAGATAAAACGAACTTGAGCACCCATAGTTCCGTCTAAATGTTCGGCTTAGGTTTCACTCGATCACTCTGTCGGGATCTAGCACCAACGTGCGCCTTAGCTTTACCTGTGTTCATGGAGCAAATTGTCAGCGAACATTAAGACATTGAGTAGTATCGCGCAATTTCGTATCTCCTTAGACAAACTCCTTAGTGACACCCCAATTTCGGAATTATCAAGCATCTGTACACCCGATGATGAGCTATGAGGACATAGTCAGGATTGCTGTTAGTGGCGTACACGTACGAAGACACACCACCATCTACCATCTAGTAAATATATATTGCGAGTTGCAGGACAAACAAACATTAACTATACTTAAATATGCATGTGACCGAATAAGCATGAGGTGAAAAATGAATGACGGAGTTTACTGGAAACTCACGCACGCCTACTCCATGTGGTAGAGGATCTATCTTTGTGTTGTCGTGTTGTGTTCGTTAACTTTTGCAAATCCACTCTCGACCGTACGAGGAGAAATCGGGACACTCGGTTGGAGAACTCGCTTACGAACAGCCAGGATGAGGAGCCAATCGTTCGTGATCCCAGTAAGTACGTGGTGAATTTATCAGACGTACAACTAGACGCTTTGCAGTTAGAAGCTTTGTCATATGGGCTTGATTACAAAATTCCTCCTAGAAGATTGAATGGGTTGTTTATAGAAGCTCAGTTTGAGAACTTATTTGATCAATTTAGGGAGCTTCAAACATCCAGTCCTGAGAGTGTTGTTTGGTTTAGAAACAAATTGACCGACATTGCCCACGAAGTTAAGACTGAGCCAGTGACTGACAAATTCGCACTTACAGGCCGACACCTTCAGGCGCTGCGTGAAGTTCGTACTAAGAACGTAGTTGTGATGTAACCCAATAAGGGCTGTGGAGTGGTGGTCATGCACAAGGCCGAGTACGCCCAGAAAATGAGTAGCATACTCAACGACAAGAATAAATTTGAATGACTTCATAAGATGGAGAACGTATCCGACATTGAAGCTAGCATTAGCTGCCCATCTTGAAATGCTTCTCCTTCATCGCGTGATTGATAGTGACACCTATAATTGCTTGAAGCCAAGTGGAAGCACTACTCCGCAGCCATACGGGTCACCGAAGACGCACAAGAGTGGAGTACCACTTAGGCCGATTCTATCAATGGTAAATGCGCTGCAGCATAAATTGACTCGCTGGCTAGTGAAGATACTTTCGCCTCTACCACAACTGTTCAATCCATTTAGTCTTAAAGATTCTTTTCAACTTATCGGTGACTTAGATGACATCAACCTCTCCGGTAAGATCATGTGTTCCTTGGATGTGGAATCTCTATTCACCAACGTCCCACTACAACTGACGGTTGAATACATATGTGAGCTAGCTGAGCACTCTGGTTATTCGTTACCAATTCCAGTAGAATTTCCAAAGGGATCCTTACTGCTGTGTACAGCAAATGTTGGCTTCCATTTTCAGAAAACCCCATATCGTCAAATCGATGGTGTGGCAATGGGTAGCCCACTCGGCTCTGTACTTGCTGATTTGTTCATGCTGATGATAGAAGGAGGTATATCCACAGAAATAGCCCAGTTGCCATATTATAAGCGTTATGTTGATGACATATTGGCCTTTTGTTCATCGGAGCAGCAGATTGTCCAGTTGGTGCAGCAACTCAACTGCGCACATACCAACTTGCGGGTCACCTGCGAAGTGGAACAGAAGAACTGTCTGCCATTCTTAGACATCCTCATCAGTCGCAGAGATGATGGGCTCATTAGAAGGTCTATCTACAGAAAAGCAACCTGGTCCGGCCAATACCTGCACTTCACCAGC